TTCGTAGTGCCAATGAATCGAGCCGATCGGAAAGGACCCGGTCGTCGACGATTCGAGCTGCTCTGCGCTGGATGCGGTCAAGTGGAAGGAGCTGGCACTGGGGAGCCCCTGCCCAAAGATGGGAACAGTATTCCATGTGAGGCCGAACCTGCGCCTTGTAAAGTTGCAGGCGCTGTGCCGGCATGAAATACTGTCCCACTCTGCTGAGCACGCCAAGCTTTGTAGAGGCCACTTTGGCCTTCTCTTCCAAGTGACTGCTCGTCACTTGATATGTCGACTCCGAGGATACCGATACTGGTTGTCCCGTCTACAACGACCTTGATGTTGCGATGTGTAAGGAAGCTGGTGATCCAATTGCACAATTTCTCGGGAAGCCTATAGAAAGGGAGCTTCGATTGAAGCGCTTTGTGCCAAACCAAATCCAAGGCCTTCGCAATGTCCAAACTAACAGCCAACGCCTCCCCCTTGGACTCTAATGCCTCCGCCCATCTATGAGTCAGGCAGACCAGAAGATAACCAGCTGATCGACCCCGACGAAAATCGTATTGGCGGTCACTAATCAGCTGGTGATCCTCAAGGTACCACATGAGCTGGCAGTTAATAATGGATTCCATTATTTTGGAGAACAAGGAGGTGATCGCGATAGGCCTGTAGTTGGACGGGTCTGAGCGGTCGCCTTTTTTAGGGAACGGGTGGACAAAAGCTGTCTTCCATGATTTCGGGACTACGCCTAGGGAGTAGGAGTACCGGAAAAGACGGAAAAGACGCGTTACAACCGGTGCCAACTCCGGAGCACACGTTCTCGGCACAATTGGGGGGATTCCGTCAGGCCAAATCGACTTGTGGATGTCCAGGGAGAGGAGTGGTTTCCGAACCGAGCGCTGTGAGAACCGCACATTCGGCATGGAGCACTCACAACGCGGGATGGTCGGCGGTGTGTTGCCTCCGTGATCAAGAGTCGAGTTGGACGCAAAAAGGGAACCTAAAAGGTCGGCTTTCTCTTTTGCGGCTTGGGCCAGCGAGTCGCCCTCCCTGTGCAGATTTGGTAGTGAATGCTTACAGAAATTCCCTTGGACAGCATTGGCGAGAGACCAGAATGCTCGGAGGAAGGCGAACTAGTTAATTTCTCGCCAATTCTGCCTATGTCTGACTTTGCTTTGGCAATAACTCTTTTGAAGGACCTGGAGGCGGATTCTTCATTAATTGTTCCTTCCGCTCGATTTGCTTACTATTTAAATTGAATATTCTCCAGCTTTTGCCTAAGTCATTCACTAAAGTAGAAATATCTTTTCTTTTTAATAATATTATGATTATTTTAATTACAGCTGAAAAACAAAATAAGGATTCATTATATTAAACTATTTAATATTGAAATGTATGACAAAAGATAAATAAATCATACCCGCAACAAAAATAATATTCACAGAGAGCATGTAAGCGTATATGTTATGGCTATGGTAAGGACTTCTCTGCGTGATAAACTTACAAATCAGGATATCTACAGTAGAACCAAACTATCGGTTAGTTTGCCCCATGGATAAGTAGCTCAAAAAACCCACAATCGATATGGAATAAAGGTTCTAGAGACGCAATCTCGTGCCGGTAAATTCAGTATGGGATGGCCCCTCACTAGATGGAGTGACGACCTGGTAAGAGGTGCAGAAGGTCGATGGATGCGGGAGGCTCGGGACCGTGCGCTGTGACATTCCTTGGGGAAGGCCTATGTTTAGCAGAGGACTTGTGAAGGGCTGTAATGATGAATGATGATGATGATTCATTCATCGTCATTTTTATAACAGCCTATCTAAAGACACATATGAACATAGACATTGACACATCCCCATAGATTGCCTCATAGGGGCGTATTTGCCAGGATTGCCAAGCTTAAAAGACGGGTTGGCAACCGTAGTCTTTAATATTTTGAATTCTTATCAGGAAGATACTAATGTACATCTCTTCTTTCATTTCCCTTTGTCGCACTTACGATATACGCAGCATGATATAGGGTTGTGGAATTTTTACACTGCCGTTGTATAGACACCGAGCCAATTTTCTAGGACCATAAGGGAAAACATTTCAAACTTTTCCTTAAACGCCAAATCCTGAACTGGTGATGGGAATAACAGTAAATTATTATTTCAGCGAGACTAATTTTAGTTTAGTTTACGACGGACTTTTTTCTGCAACACCATATCTAAGTGTGTATTTTGCCTGTGGGTAGGAATATCGTGATTATTCCTAAAATGAAACCTCCTCAAATAAGTTCAGCAGTCCTTTGATGTTGCCAAAAACTTCGGGGAGTGATATTGGCCTGCCGAGATGTTTAGCCCTGTACACGGCAACCTCTGGACAAGCCAGCAATACGTGGGCTGCTGTTTCTTCCTCTCTTATACATGCCCTGCAAAGAGGCCGAATGTATATAACACCTTTGGTAAATAAATGTTTGTTAAAAGAGCTGTGTGACGGCTCCTTGGCGCAGTGGTTTATTGTTCCGGGTCTAGATGTACGTCCGAGCGAAATTTATGTAAATAAACTGCCTCGACTATACAGGAAATTCTATTCTGGGGGTAAAAAAGAGGGAATAGCACTTGTTGCTATTAGAGAAGACTGCCCTCTTTTTTACCGATATATATATATATATATATATATATATATATATATATATATATATATATATATATATATATATATACGATATATATATATATAGACGATCTATATATATATATATAGACGATCCCATTTTTTGATCTCTGAAATACATAAGGATAGCGTTAATTGTTAAAAATAGTAAAAGTGTGGGAGCGGATGTTCAACTTGATCTCCTGAACACGCAATTAATGGTTACCAGTAATAAGACAGCGTAACGCACTATACATTTAGTAGTAAATTACAGTTCGACCACATCGTAATACGTCTCCGCCATAATCACACACCAGTGTAACGTGAGGGACGAAATTACATGATAACTCCAAAGTATGCAAGCCAATATTAATACCACATATCTCAGTGTAACGCAGAGCAGCCTCTCAGCAACACGATCTTCCTTGCCTACACCAGAAGAATTACTAGGCCGAACAGAACACTCTCTTAGCACTCGTACAATGACTCGAGCGGAATCTCTCGCGCACGGCGCCTACAGTGAACTTAATAAGTCACATACGAGTGGGGTTTTCTCAATATACTAATGATGCTACGCTAGAGTGATGCAACCTCTCGCTCACTCTCGATCCAACCGGTATTTTATAGACGATCCAATATATATATATATATATATATATATATATATATATATATATATATATATATTTTATAGGATAAGGTGACAAACGAGCACACAGTCCACCTGATGGTAAGTGGTTGCTGTGGCCCATAGACATCTACATTTATCCTCGTTTGAGAATCAAAATGCAGATGGGTTGTCACCCGTGAGGACTAAGATAGAATGCCTCTTTTCCAGTAAAAAGGGTCTCCGGTTCTCTACACTCACCATACGAAACACAGCAGCATGAAGCTGCTATTTGACGCTGGTATTCTGTGAGAGAGTGGTCCTTCCCCGGTCGAGCCGATCCATTCGTGCTACAACTATACTACTAATGTAGCTGCAGCATGGCTCTACCACGTAATAAAAATTACAAATACATTAAATAAATTATTAAGATTTATTAAGATGGTTTAAAAACTAAATATAATTTGTTTGAAATCAGATTTAAACTATCTAAGAATAATTGAGCATATAAAATGTATAGCAATCTTGCACTGACAATTTTTTTCCAGGTGAAATATATTGGAACTTTGAATTAAACTATCTTTCTAACTATCAAAGAACGAACGAACTATCAAAGTTCAAAAACTTTATTAAACTAAGTTTGTATAAAAAGGGTTATTATAATATTAAGGAATTTATGGATGATAATAACCCCTGGAAATGAGGTGATCGCTACCAAGCTATTTCTAATTTGTTGTGTTGTTAATTTGTGTAAGTAACATCTTGATTGTAAGCTGTTATTTTAAAAAAAAATGTCCCGCTGGGTTTCTTGCTGGTTCTTCCCAGGACAGAGGTTTTTTCCGAACCAGTGGTAATCAAACAAAAGAGTGACTTTCAATAAGTATTATTTATAATCTATATTGAATAAAAAAGTTTCTGTTTCTGTTTCTGTTTCTGTTTATCAGAAGCGCTTTTATTTCAATGCCAGTATATCTGTCATTTTTAACAATTAAGCTGCAATTAGTTACGAGAGTAAAAGCATATTTTTATTATTTACGGCAATCGTTTCTTAATTGATGTTATTTCACCAAAACAATCAACAAAAGTGTACAGCCCAATTATCCATTTATTTAACGACAAACGACTGTTAAATTCGTTAAATATTTATTTAATTTAAAACACGTAAGACGTAGCATCTGATCTGTCAATAGAATAGGGGGTTCTTTTTATATAGTAGGAATAAACTTCAAGATAATTAATAATAAAATAAAATAAAACTATGTTGGTTTAGAAACACATTAAAAATATATAAATCACGAAATATTACATATTTGATAGATTTAGAATAGAAAATCATATATTGCGATAAAGGAGAAAACTCACTAAGGGGTAATATGTTTTTCTAATAGAAATAAAAATATGTTTCTGGGTTTATGTGGCCGCGGGTTCAAATCCCGAACGTAACAAGTATTTGTATGGCCTACAAACAATTGTTCTGGGTCTGGTTGTTTGTCCTTGTACAATTTATGTTTATTAACTGCCCCGGAGAAAACAGAGTATCGAAGTTACGTGTTTTTTTTTTTTTCAAAAAATTAAAAAATAGCTTTTGCGCAGTTATCAGCTTCCAATAATTCGATAAAGTCTTATAAAGAGCTTCTTCGATCCAATTTAAATTAAACTGAACCCTAAAATAATTTTACTTTCTTAACTCTTTGCGTGTACAATTATTAACGACAGGAAAATATTTAAGTCACTTTTGTGTTTACTATAATACAGCAAAGAAGTAAGAAAAATGGAAAATTTTCCAGAGGAATTTGCAAGATCGTTTATACTTTGTTTCAAATTATTCGATAAATGTAATATTTCATTCTTTGATAACAATAATATATCTAAATTACTTACATGGTTAAGAACGTATTACAGTGTACCATTTGTGTTGGCATATAATGTTTGCCTGTTGGCATATTTGCACAAACTATTGATAGAAAGATTTCATATGTCAGAGGTAGCGTATATTGTTTCCATGTGTCTGATTTCTATACAAGGTTAGTAACTTTAAATTGTTATTCTTATATCTTAAAATTTTATATGTTAAAACGTTAGAATGGGAATCTATTTGATTGGTTTTATGATTTATTACGTGGTAGAGACATGCTGCAACTGTATGGATGACGGGATGGCTCAACTGTATTTGATATGGACAACACTCTCCTAGAAAATTATCGAAAAATAGCAACATCATGCTACTGTTTTGAATAATAAGTCTAGAGAACCAATATTACTATACTCAAGGTGAAAACGTTTCTGCATTCTGATTCTTAATGGCTGTTGGATATAGGTGGCAAAAGACCACAGTATAAGGTTACCATCAAGTGGACTGGCTGCGTAATAATACCCTTTAACTCGTGTCATCCCGTAGGTGTCGTAAGAGACGACGGAAAAGAATCAGAGTAACCGACATAGCCCAAAGAATTAGTATGCTGAAGTGGCAATGGGCCGGCCATATAGCTCGAAGAATCGACAACCGATGTGGAAGAAAGGTTCTCGAGTGGCAGCCTCGTACCGGCAGGCGAAGTGAAGGGCGACCCCCCACTAGATGGAGTGACGTCCTGATAAGACATGCAGGAATTCGAGGGATGCAGGTGGCTCAGTACCGTGTTTTGTGGCATTCCTCGGGGGAGGCCTATATTCAGCAGTGGACTTATGAAGGGCTGTAATGATGATGATGAGCTAATTTTTGGGGAAGGCTTATGTTTATTAGTGGACTTTTGATAGGCTGCAAGAAAACAATAAATGACATTGTTACTACATTACTGTAAAATGAACACTATTTGCGATTATATTAAAATGTTAAAAGTTCGTTGATCGTCGGCACGACACGACGACTGAGACAAGAACCCTAGGGAACAAAAGCTTTAATGCCTGCAAGCCGATAATCGAAATTTTCAGCTAAGTTAAAAAGGAGATGTTCTTAATGGAGTTATATATTTTACTGTACTCATGTAATACAAAATTTGTAATAAATTAGATATAAAAACGCATCCTTTATAATTTCTTTAGATAATATTAATTTTTTTAAACTCTACCCCATATCCGCATTTCAGTTTTGATGACATTATTATTTTGTATCATTTAGATCACTGAGATCTGATGATTTAATCTTTAATGATAATCTACTGTTTACAGGTGTGATTAAAGCAACAATTGTATTACTGAAGAGATCCGATATTAAAAACTTAATTTATCATTTGGGTAATATGTGGAGAACGTCAAACCTTACTGATAAACAAATTGAGAAGAAGAAAAATCTTTTAAAAACTCTAAAATATTTTCAATTGGGTTAGTAGATTCAGTTAATTTACCAATCAAGAATATAATATTTAGTTAATTAAAGAAAGAGTGGCCATAAACGCAGTGGTTTATTACTCCAACGCGGCTCCAGATTTCTGACTCAATCGGAGTAATCAGTCGGGGCCACTACCATCATCATTAAAACCCCTCACAATTCCATTGCTAAACGTGGGCCCAACAAAACACGCTCTCTAGCTACCTGCATCCATTGACCTCTCGCATGTCCTACGAGATCGTAACTCCATATTGTGGGATTTTCTCTTACACTGTTTACTCATACAAGACCCTTTCTCCCATCAAATATCAGCATTGTGATGTTCCCCTAGTTTGTGACGTTGCGTTTTAGAATTCATTCATTATTACAATCGTTATGTCGATAGTAGATCAGAATGAGCTGTGGTAGCCCGAGGCTTAGATTGTCATGTTGTAGGTAAATCAACCAGTTGTAGGGCACTACCACAGCCTATCGACAATATTCGATTTTGGTTACCGTGGTTGAAATCAATCTAGATAGCTTTTTTGATAATATTTTGTTAATTTAATTTCAGTGTTCTACTGGAGTGACATAATAGGAGCATGGCAACATTTAACAACGCCATTATTGTTAGTACTTTTTCGTACATTTATACTGCAAGAGGATTGTGAGCTGGCGTTGCCGTTTGGGAGTGTGTATCCATACGATCCTACAGAAAATTGGTTCAAATATTTAGCAACTTACGCATTCCAATCATTTGCCAGTATGTAAATAATACTTTTGCACTGTTAATAAAACAAACGCGACGTATATTATTGATGGTATTTTCAGTGTTGCGAGAAGTTTACATATATATAGGCACTGACTTTTTGTTGATGACGCTGTCTGCACACCTAGCTATTGCATTTGCCCTTCTTCGTGAAGATTTGGTAAACGTAGCGCCTACGAATATAAAAAATGGATTTTGCAATAATTCAACTGATGGACAACAAACGAACGAAGAAAGTTATGTAAAAATATCCATACAAGATTTCATTTGTCGGCATCAGAAGTTAATTGAGTACGTGATTTTAGTATTTTCATTAACTTTTTTCTCATTTTTTTATTTCATATTGTTTTTTTCTCATTTTTTAATTCATTTTAGTCGATCAAAAGTCCAATGCTGAACATAGGCCTCCCTTATTCACTGTCTAAGAAAGGAAGATATTTGCTATAGTTGTCACGCTAGTCAGGCGGTTAAGCAAACGCAGTTTTTTTTATTAATTTGAATTGTTATCTGCAAAATGCTGCTACATTACATTATTTCTACTAAAGCAGAGGACCAATAGCTGTAGATTGTTGCTGGTTGTGATTAAGAAGATTATATGGAGGATTTAACAAATATCATACATTCGTACTCCCCATGCTATAGTTCTTAGGAACGATTGGTGAGTTTTCTTGTCGAATAACTGGCTAAAGGCACTCACTTGCCTGCCGTAGAGGTACAATCTAAGGTGTAGGATTGGAGATGACACTTAATTGCCTCTTTAATTGTGATGTGTGTATGCAAGCAGGAGCAATATCCTAAGTCGGCCCTGTGGCAGGGCGGCAGGGGTGCAAGACTTTCCTTGCTTCCTAGATCATAGCTGCCGCTGCCGCGTGTGTAGCGCAATTGGATCAATTTAAATCAATTCGTTAGCGTTTTTTGCGCGGAGCACACGTGTGAGTACAAGTCACAATGGATACCAATAAAGAATTACATTTGGACCCTGGTATTAAAAATGTGTAAAGAGCGGCTTTTTCACCCAGTGTCTCCTTTTTGTCTTTTTGTGCGGTAGCACCGTATAAAGAACGTTTTTAGAACTTGGGAAAATTTTTAAACGTCGTAGAACCATGGTGTAGCTTATAAACACTACATTATGGTTTTAGTTGGTGGTTGGTTTTAGTTATTTTATTTAGTTGTTTTATGTGGGTGTCTTTGGGCCACAGTATCTACTTACCATTAAATTGACTGCACTGATTTGTCACCCTTATTCTATATAAAAAGAGTCAAGGCTCTATATACCGATTTCTTTATATTTTGATAAAACTGGCGCCATTCTCGACGCGTGTGTCCAGCGAGATGTACACTCTTATACTGAACGGCAGGCTCCCTTTTTGCTTCCAACTCGACTCGAGATGACGGGGGAAACACACCGCCGGCCATCCCGCGGTGTGAGTGCTCCATACAGGAAGTGCTGTTTACACAGCGCTCTGTGCGTAAAGCACTCCTCTGCCTGGACGTCAACAAGTCGAGTGGGCCTGATTCTCACCTATTGCGCTGAAGACGTGTGCTCCGAAGTTGGCATCGGTTTTAACGCGTCTTTTCCAGTACTCCTACTCACTAGGCGTAGTCCCGAATTCATGGAAGACAGCATCGATACACCCGATCCCTAAAAAAGGCGACCCCTCAGATCCCTCGATATATCGAGTGACGTGCAATTTCGTGGTCACTTGGATGGGAAGACCTCTAAAATGCTTGGCATGCTCAGCAGTGTAGAAACAGTTCTAATACTGCCCCGATCGCTGTACGCTCTAGATTGCCCCTGTGGTAGGCAAGTGAGTAGCCACCTTAATTCAACCTTTGGGCGAGAAAAGAACCAGTCTTCTTGTTTACAGGGGCCATGAGCAGTCGCGAAATACAGTTCCTTTTGAAATTTTACAGCACATGAACCCCACGGACCAATATACATGTGTATATAAAACACAAACATATAAGGCACAAATAGATAATCAAACTTTTAATTACAAATTTTAATTTTAAGGTTGGCTGCTTTATTGAACGACGTATTCAACATCATGATATTCGTCAATTTATTATTTATTACGATTATTGCATGTTTTTTCGGATTTGCAACTACGGTAAGTATTCCGTTATTAAAACTGCAACAAAGTTGACGCTCTGATTATACTAAATAGTTTAATCTTTACAGGTAGCGCGAGGGATAGTGGAGATGATAAACAACTTAGTTGCTGTTTTGGCGTTGTTGTTACCGACTCATTTACTTTGTTACTACGGCGAGTTATTGAGGAACGAAGTATGTGAATTAAACCACAATATATTTAACTATACACTTTTTTTTAAAAGAGGTTACAAGGTAGGACTTTTTTCTGCCTAGGATCTACCACCCTCTTACCTTTTTTTGCCACTAAGCAAAAGTGCACTGTTGGGTGCCGGTTTGAAGGGCATAGAGAACCAGTATTATTACAGGCAATATGGTACTACATTTAAGTCCTCAGAAATGTCAACACATCTGTGTGCTCCTTTGTTTGGAATTTGTTGCAGGTATCAGATTCAAATGTAGGCCATCCTTTTTTTAACATGCGGAAATGCCTACGCAAACCCGCCTTGCAGGGGCAAGGACGGGTAATATCGGACTCGCACCTACTAAAACCCCATGGAGTTTCACCTACGTCACATATTAGCAGTGCCACGGGAACGCTTTCGCACACATCCGCAGCTCCATCAGCGCCGGCCACCCCATGGTGACTCCTCCGCGGGAGAGGACTACTCCTCCCCATCTCCTTCTCAGGAAGGCGCACCAGAACACAAGGCGCGCCTTTCTCCACAGTCTCCAACTACACCTGTACGTACTACGCTCCCTTGTCCGATGCGCGAAGGTCATGTTGCTAGGAAAAACTAGCACTCAGAAGCACTAGCCTTCTTGACCCCAGCGGCGGATCTAGTCTATGGCTCCGCCGCCAACCAAGATTCGGCAGCGGAGGGTAGGGAGATCGGCGCCTCACAATACCGACACTTCTCTCCCCCCACAGCCCCACCACCACCGCAACAACGGTGCGGCCCCGTCAGCGTCGTGGAGCATACAGGTTACTTTGGGAAGATTTTTTTCACCGCTATATACGTTTTTTACTTCCTACCTTCACTGTATCTTAATACCTTCGCTGTATCTTCCGCTGGGCAGCGAGCAAATCAGTATATGAAATTATCTTATGCAAAATATCTAGATTTCTTAACCAGTATTACCATTAGCCTAGCCAGCCTATCGAAAGTCCACGCCTAAACATGAGCTTTCCCTATAGATTGCCTTATGGGGGGATATTTACCATAGTCGCCGCGCTTATGAAGGTGCTGCTGCCCATATCCCGTTCCATTTCCTAGGTCACCTCTTACGACACCCACGGGTATATTCACACACCCGGGTGCGGTGTAGTGGCAGCGTAAGAATATCTTGTGACTCGTATTTTAATTTATGTTTACATATTGTAATATATCAAAAACTTTGATTATCTTTCTAGAGTTTGCGTATAGCTGATTCGGCATACACTAATTTATGGTATAAAGGAGATGTTCATTACCAGAAAATGATTAATATCATAATAATACGGTACGTCGTATTGAAATTTAAAATTGATATATTTTTAAGTAATATAATTTGATAATGAGCCGGTCGTATTAGGTTAAAGAACCGACAATCGATAGGTAAGAAAGTTTTGTGCAACTCTTCAATGGGATGACGACCTGGTAAGACATGTAGCAAGTGGATGAGTGCAGGTGGCTCACGACCGTGCTTTGCGACCTTCCGTGGCGAGGCTTATCTTCAAAATTGGACTTATCAAGGGCTTTATTGATTATAATTATAAAGTGTTAAAAATAAAAACTTGGAGTAAAAAGACATTACACAGTAGACATGTAGAAATTCTGGCGTCATTTATAACAAAACCTTATGTATTTAAATAAAAATAAATACAACTTGTTTAATCAGTAAAAGTTCATCTTAGTTGTTAGTAGTTAATCATTATTTTGTACGGTATCTTCACACTGCACCCATTATCATAACATACATTTCACGTAAAAACAAAAGTAGGCATTATAAAATAAGATATTAAGAACAAAAGGAAGCAAGTATTACTAGTTACTCGACTCTACAGAGTCATTAATTTAAATGTTTATGCTTTGAAAACGAAATGACCGAAAAATTATAATTTAATAAACAAAACCTGTATATTATGTATACAATAATATATATCGACCCCCCAAGCAAAAAAAGAACTGTAAATGTGCTATTATGGAGTTTTTACTTTTATGCCAGATTCGTAATGTATAGATTGAAATACACATTGGTAATTTTTTCAGATTTTTTTCTAGCTTTATTTAAGGACATATAATGAATAACACTTTTATTGTACGGAAATTTACAATCGTGTTATTTGTGTTTGATTTGGCTAATTACAATTACCGCAGTATTGGCGTAAACGCATAAAGTGTTTAATAAACGCGATTACTATAACTTAGTAGTATTATTTTATGTAAATTTAATCAATAAAGGAATCAAACCATATTTTATAAGAATAATAATTTATTGTTAATTATATGCATTAACATTTCCGTAATCTTTATATAACATTCGCACAACTTTACTATGTATTCCACGTATATTTTGCTTTTCAAGTATAGGGTATTTTGCACCATGTAAAAAAATACATATTTATGATAGGTTTTGTATAAAATAAAATAAAAAATGTTGATTTATATTCATAATAATGCATTATTAATTTTATAATTCAATTTTAAGGATATATATATTTTTTTTCTGTGCCTCAAAATTTTGCGATTTTTTGATTCTGATTTTTGCCGAGAGTTTTGGTGGGAACTTGACCGGCGGCGGATTGTTGCTCCTGTATTATTGTTTAAATAACAATATGAAATAGATTTTGAAATGCAAAATTAGTGCTATTTTGTGTTTTAAATGTTTGCATGTAATTTATTAGTGGAAACGGTGAAACAAGTGCTATATATAAGGCGCCTTGAAATACTATCGCCAACTGTCTGCTGGCTTAATTTGCCGTCAAAATCTCCCAAAAACTGCGCAATGTGACGCATCAACATATTGTGAAGCAGGATATTATCACTTGATAAAGAATTATTATCACTTGATACTGATACTGACATGACCTAAAGGACAAACAAAGACAAGTCAAAAATCTTAAAAAAAAGCAGAAAGTACTAATATACCAAGGATAAATACAATCACGGTGGCAAAATATTTTACATGTGATCCCGTTTTTTATTCTGCTGAATTGAGGAATATTAAAACATCAATGTAAATACCTATGAACAATGATTTCATGTATTTACGCGAACATTACACATTTAAATAAAACTAGTTTTTACGGATTTTATCCCATATATTAACTTATTTTATATTCCCGACGTTTCAAGTACTTAACAACACCCATGGTTACGGGTGGACTCTGAGGTGTTTGACGTCCCAGTGTCATAGTTAACCTTGGCTACCTACAGATTAAAATTATTAATTTTTGTTCCGATCTACGCAGTACGAACTTATAGTATCTTGAAGTCTTGCAGTTGTATACTTGGGTTGGGATTTAATTTTATTAATTATAGGATCCCAAGCAAATGGTAGCACCTAGTCATCATCTCTCTGAGATACAGTCTTCAACAGGTATGCATGTGAACAGTGACTGCACATCAAAACTGACCATATTTTTAGTCTCTACCAGATGTAGGTCTTTAATCTCACTGACAAAATGGTAGGGACCCTGTGTGTGTGCTCTTGTATGTCCCCTGAGCGGTGAGAGTATTTTCGCTAAGTGTTAAGCCAATCTGTAAGTTGGTGAATCGATCTGGCTCACCATGGCACGTAGTGGATTTGGCTCACTATGGGAAATGTCTTAAATACAAAAATGGTCCATTAAGTCAGTAGCATAACGTTACTATAACATCACTTTTGAAAAATTTACTTATATACTATATATTATAATTGTATGTATTAGTTAATAATACTAAAAAAAAACATTGTTAGCACATTTTGAGTAATTTTTATTTTACAATATTTTTTGCATTCAAAATTATTTAACTCAACTCCAACATCCAGAGTCTATAAAAAATTAACTTTAATTTGATATAACAATCACTTTAATATTCCAAAGCTTTCCTGTGTTATACGACAAAAATCGTAAATAATTATTACTGTAAAAATAAGAAACCGTGAAACCTTACGATTACTAACTTCTTGCTCGGGGGCGTTGATATAATAATACAAAATACTAGAAAATAAGATAATCTTTGTTAAGTTGTTTCTTAAATTATTTTAAAATTGATTGTATAGTGTACCATAGTATGTTCTCGGATTTCTCGCTGATTCTTTTCAGGACACAGTTTTATCCGAATCAGTGGTATATGCTATAAAATATTTAGTATTAATTATTAAATTGATTAAAATTGACGATTACGTTGAGTAAAAGATATTTTATCATATTTTATTTATTCCATAGATATTGTGTACTAAAACTATCAATCTGTTTCTCTGTACTTTGTTGTTTGCGGTTTCTGTTTTATTTCTTACTTAGATAACTGTCACCTGTCCGCTTCGCTTGGCAAAAATGTAACTTTAGCAATAATTGTTATAAAATCTACCCTATATATTATATCACGACATAATCGTTAAATATATTACTAAGCTGTTTGAACTTTATTGAAGGACAAACATCCAGACAAACATAATACTTTCACATTTAAAGTCTAGTATCACAGTCGCTTTGGATTAAAGTGATAGAGACAGCACGAGACTTACTGACATCCTAAAATTAAGTATCGTTTAAGTCTTTAGGCTATAGGATATTAAATCATAATAATTTCTTTCACAGATCACAACGGCCTTGCTGTCTTACGTCACTAAAACATGTACCGGTTACTTTGAATTCGTTCACTAAGGTATATACATACTACTTCTAATAGGTATATTTTAATCTCTGGTGCCAGTTAAACTGATTCAATAGAGCAACTTCTTACTACCTGGTGGTTGTGCTCAAGCACTGGCTTATAATAACTAAAAAAAAGTGCCGTGTAGTGGAGGCGTAAGAGAATCGATCACCCTATTCGTCCATAGGTGTAGAGAGGCCACTATTTTTTATAGAATAAGAGTGACAAACGATCACACTGTCCACTTGCTGTGTGGATGCTGTCTGGCTCATGGAACTTTACGTCTATCCTCGATTAAGTGGTCGGAGCGTAATAGAGTCGATCACCCAGTTCGTCCTATGGGTTTCGTAAGAGAAATTTATTATATTTAAAAATGTATTCCAGAAGAATTACAAGTTATGAATATAAAAAATCGATCGTACAGTGTATAAATGTTTGCATTATTACGATAAAGCTGAAGGCACGGCTGCGTTGGCCCAAGGGTAAGTTCTGTGAGAGAGTAGTCCTTCCCTAGTCGAGCCAACCCATTTGTGCTACAAACAATCACCTAAAGACTGTGAATATGGGGTAAACCTTACATGGTCGAGCCATGCTGCAGCTATATTAATAGTATATTTGTAGCACGAATGGGTCGGCTCCATCGGGGAAGACCACGCTCTCACAGAACACCAGCGTAAAATAGCAGCTTAATGCTGCTGTGTTTCGTATGGTGAGTGTAGAAAACCGGAAACCCATTTTACTGGAAAAGAGGTATTCTATCTTAGTCCTCACGGCTGACAACGCATCTACGTTTTAATTTTGAAGATAGATGTAGATGTCTATGGGTCACAGCAACCACTTAACATCAAGTGGACTGTGTGCTCGTTAGTCACCCTCATTCTATAAAAAAAACCAACAAGCCTCGCGACTCTCGATTAATCTTTCGTGTCAATTAAATAGATTTGGTACTAGACGTTATACGTGGTAGAGCCACGCTGCAGCTATATTAGTAGTATAGTTGTAGCACGAATGGGTCGGCTCGACTAGGGAAGGACCACGCTTTCACAGAATACCAGCGTAAAATGGCAGCTTGACACTTCTGTGTTTCGTATGGTGAGTGTAGATAACCGGAGACCCATTTTACTGGAAAAGAGGTATTCCATCTTGGTCGATTCTTTATTAAGGATGAATGTAGATGTCTATGGGTCACAGCAACCACTTACCATCAGGTGCTCGTTTGTCACCCTATCCTATAAAAAAGATCAAAGTGTCCTATAATAGCAGCGTAATATATTCGATAAATCTGTTAGTTACGAGTATATGGATGTCGTAGGCTGACTGTGGGATATGCCAGATATGATACAATACCTAGTCAGGTGATAGGAAACAGCGACAAATATGTAATACGTTTCGTTCTGTGATGCCAATCGGGACGATCTAGGCAAATCTTTCCAATTATAAGAAAGGCCTATGTCCATTAATGAAATTTTATGGGCTGATTTAAAAAAGAAGAACTTCAAGTAACAATATTATAACCGGCTTTTTTTATATTAGAGTGACAATGATCTCAACTCGCTCAATACCCGATGATAAGTCGAAACCTGCATCTAGCTTCAAACAAAGCAAACAGTTCGTTGTCCACCCTGAGAACTGATACATAATATCTCACGCTCTTTAATTATACTGGCTATTTGAAATTCCAAATCTCAGCTCATTTATTAATAAAAATAGCCCGAGGATACTACAAAGTATCCCAGATGAAAATATTTATTTTTAATTTAAATTTCTCGGAAGTTCTTTAACCCGTGGTTTCCCTCCACATTAAACGTAAAATTTTTGGAGAATATTTTCGTACGTTGAATGTTAAAAAGTTTACAGTGTTCCCGTAAAGTATTATTAAGCAGATAACTGTTTCATTCCATAATACTTGAGAAAATTTAAAAAAGGAATCTTGCAGTAGGTTTTTAGAAATTATTTATAAGGATTGGATCTAAATAATATAGGATTACCCCTGCTGGAAATTGACCTTTTAGAGTTTTTTTTTTAGAATTAGTGGGACAAGCGAGCACACAGTCTTCCTGCTACTAAGTGGATTCTATGGACCACAGTCATTTTCGCAAATTAAAATAAATGTAGATGTCTATGGGCCACAGCAACCACTTACCATCCGGTGGACCGTGTGCTCGTTTGTCACCCTTATTCTTTAAAAAAAAAAGGTTTCTTTTAGTGAGCTCGTGTGGTACCCAAATATCAAGCTTTTTTGTATACTCAGACTTTTTCAAATGGGTCAAAACTGTTTTGTGGTCACTTCTTAATTCCTCGGTTATGTCGTAACTACTAATATGCCGATTTCGCTCCACTTTTTCAAAAATAGCATCGACTTTATACGTATGAGTGTGACCAGAGCGAGCTGCATCTTTGACATCAAAATTCCTGGAAGGAAAACTCTTGAACCAACTTTGCGCTACTTTTACTGACATTGCGTTAGGTCTACAAACGTCGCATTTCCCTTTTTTTGTAATATAACTTCAGAATGTATCGAATTTCTTCGTTACATTCTTTAATTTTGGTGAACGAAAAACAATAGATAAATGGCGGGAAAGTGCTTTTAATTTTTTATTTTTCTTTTTATTAATGTACTTCCTATCTGTGTTTCGACATTAAAACCAGCCAATTACAAACAGTACAAATAAAGGAAGTTTTCTTGAATTTTATAAAAACAAAATACGAAGAAACTTTTTCCCCGACATATTAGATCATTATTCTATCTCTGTTCTATTCTACCTCTACGTAATTCATGTATTTAGTAAACCCTATTATACCGACTTTAAAAGTGTCAGAAATATATAATATATAATGTTTATATTCATGTCCCAATAAACAGGGAGCCGTCTTAGCGCAGGCGCTAAGAAATCGCCGTAAATTTCACGGTACGCGAGCAAACCGGTCTCGACATCGCGTTTCATTATAAATGGAATTTTTAAGTCCTGGCTTACCAGATGCTCAGCGGTGACAGACATAATTATGAGGAAATCTTATTGTCTGTGGAATATAACATTTTTAGAATCGAAGGATGCCCACTTTAACTTTAGATAATTTCCGTAGATTTAATTCTTTTAAAAATTTATTATTATTTTCAGGTACTAAGTACAACCTGGTCGTATTTTTCGGTAGCAACAAGTATTTATTTTGATAAGGAGTAGTGGATAGACTAGTGGAGTCTTATAGAAATAAACACTGAAACACATCTTAAATTTATAATGAAAATTCTTACACTTCACTAAATATTATAAAACCATGTCGCTTATTCATATTTTGCTGTGTATTTTTTTTTTCTTTAACTTCCTGTAACAATCAACAGCTGAACATAGACCTTTCTAATTGTAGCAAAGATTTTCATTATCGCCATGCCTAGGAAGTTGCATGACAAAAGCTTTGCAAACATTTTAAGATTTTAAAAGATAAAATATGAATCCAGCAGTCCAGGATGTGAAAGAATGGGCTGGACGAATTTTCAATGGCCATGTTCAAGAATAGTTCTTATAATTTATTCTATTCCCTTCTATTTATCCCCATAACATGTAACATTTGTCATCATAAAATGTATTGCAGAAGGATCACAAGTTACAAATATATAAAATCGGTCGTATAGTGCATAAACCTTCGCATTATTATGATACAGCTGAAGACATGGCTGGGGTGGCCCAAAGGTACGTTCGTCCATTAATTTAATTAACAGAATTTGGCCGAAAGTACTGAAAGGGCTCTGAAGCTTATAGTTTATTTGATCATGAGTTTTGTATTTTATGGTTTTTTTTTTTATAGGATCGGGTGACAAATGAGCACACAGTCCACTTGATGAAAAAATGAAAATGAAAATGAAAAAAATGTTTATTTACAGCTAAGGTGGTACAGATTATAATATACAATATAAGATGATAATAAAATGGAAGTACAGTAGTTTTAATTTTCTAGTATACACATACACATGGTAAGTGGTTGCTGTGGCCCATAGACATCTACATCTATCCTCGTTTGCGAATCAAAATGCAGATGCGTTGTTACCCGTGAGGACTAAGATGGAATGCCTCTTTTCCAGAAAAAGGGTCTCCGGTTCTGTACACTCACCATACGAAACACAGCAGGGGCTGCTATTTTACGCTGGTATTCTGTGAGAGCGTGGTACTTCCCCGGTCGAGCCGACCCATTCGTGCTACAACTATAATACATAATATAACTGCAGCACGGCTCTACTACGTTTTAAATCTTGGTAAATGAACTATAATTAAAAGTATTAGTAACGTTAATTTAATACGTGGTGGAGTCACAATGCAGCGATGCAGTGATGGCTACAGCATAATTGGGTTGGTAATGAGACATTACATCTAAGAGATTAAGAGTAAAAACGCATATTTATTTGGATTGATAATCGACGACTACATTTTTAAAGAAATTGAAGCAAATAATAATGTCAATAACACCTTTAGGACAATAGACCATGACACAAAAAAAAATACATGAAAATCTTTGCAAGCATTTTTAGATTTTAAAAGATAAAATATGAAAGAATTGACTGCTGGTAAATAGCGTTCATTGAGTTCCGGTAGTTTCAACTACCGGAACTCATATAACGCTATTTGTTACTATTACTATCTGTGTAGCTTAATTAATCGCTGTTGTCTGTCCGGTATGAATATTTTTTATGAAAAAATTAAAAATAAAAGGCCTTTTGGCACTTTTTCATAACATACGTATGATAAGCATTATACAACTAATTATTTTATTATAATGAGATACCTGTCAATATGTCAATAATGCTTACGAAATTATCACATAAAGAACTTTTAAGCTTCAACATCAATATAATTAATTAGTATTAATAACGTATAATAATCCACTTGTATTGAATATCGAGTTTACTCTACGTTTTGTTTCATCTATAATTAAGTTAAAAGATTATTTCGAGTATCGACACATTTGCAATGAAATTTAATTTCAAATTTATTATTAGTTTATTAAGTAATTTTACAATCTTTTTTATAGGATAGAGTGACAAACGAGCACACAGTCCACCTGATGTGATGTGAGTGGTTGCTGTGACACATAGACATCTAAATCTATCCTCAATAAAGAATCAAAATGCAGATGCATTGTTAACCGTGAGGACTAAGATGGAATGCCTCTTTGCCTGTAAAATGGGTCTCCGGTTCTCCACACTCACCATACGAAACACAGCAGTGTTAAGCTGCTATTTTACGCTGGTATTCTGTGAGAGCGTGGTCCGCCCCAGTCGAGCCGACCCATTCGTGCTACAACTATACTAGATATATAGCTGCAGCATGGCTCTACCACGTAATTCTATTTTAATTGTAAAATGTTACATTAGAAAAAAGTCCCACTGGGTTTCTTCCTAGTTTCACAGACAGAGATTTTACGAACCAGTGGTAAAAGTTAAAAAAACTTTCAATAAAAATTATATGTGACCATTTAGTGGCTGTGTAAGAATATCTGCTAATCTTTATCACCCATAACAATAAAAAATAAAAAACTACTGTTGCCAACCTGCCTGCCAAGCATGTTGGAAAATCTATGGGGCAAGGCTTTGGTCAGCATCGGAATTTTTATGAGCTGTAACAGTAACAGTTAGAATCTATATTGTCTGTTCTATATAATCGATATTGAATAGAATATATTCTATTCTATTATAAATTATATTGCCGACGTGATTTCTATTTATAAACTTGAGGAGTATGAACAGTGGTAGCTTATTTATAAACGTAAGATTAACGTAGATTATAAGTTTATAATAGGCGTGAATGGAAGGTGTACTGTGCTCAATATTGGGACCTAATAAAAATAATAACAAGGATGTGTGAAATTTTTTTCAAACAGCAATCTCACCTACACTCAGTGTATTCTGATGATATGGAAGAAGCTGTGAGGAGGATATTCTTCTTCTTTTTATCAGCATGTAGTAACGTAACATGAAAGGGTGACATCTACGCTGCTAGACAAAACAAAACAGAAACCTTGTTACAAATAATAATATAATATAAAAAAAATCAATGGGCACTTAGATTATATAAAGTTTTCTTTAAAGTTTTGTGGCAATGTCTAGCTACAATTGTTTAGCAAAGTTGCAGTATATGTAGAGCAATGTAATGCAATGTTGCTTATCCTATAGCCTCAAAAGTGCTTTACGCTTATGAACTCAATTGCTCAGCAATACAGATGAAGCAACATTACTGGAATTATACTCTGCAAAGTTGTACAACAACATTGCAATAAAAGCATCGCTGACAACATTGGTGACCTAGTTTTCCGCTCAAGAGTTTCGGCAAGATGCAGTTTTATGGCACATTTACGAGTATCTTAGGAGTGCCATTTTGTAAAAAAATAACAACTAGACAAAATTTCTATTGAATTGAACAGCTTCTCATCGACATCGGACTCACACGAACGCAAATTATCTATTTAATTATATCTCAGTCTTCGAAGAAATCTTGTGGAGAGACTTTTGAGAAACAAGTCATCATGTCTTACTGTCAATAGACATGTTGATGACTTTCATAAAAGGAATATACACCCTGATTACTGTAGATTACAATGCAAATCACAAGGTAGTACTTCGTGGGGCTCTGAGGTAATAGCCTTGTTTAAAGTAGGTTACTTCTTGTCTGCTTACCCTGAATAATGAGATTTTGAAATTGCGACATTAATAACATTCCATTGAAAATATTTCTGTATATGACTGGAATTATTCGTTTTCAAGTATTGTTTTATTGGTGCAGTTGACATCTTCACAAATTTTTGGAAGTTAATCATAGTTCATTATTTTGTTATATAATATAATGAAAACAGCAATAACCTTAAATTAATATTATTATTGATGAAATTAGCCTTAAAATAGTCCACAGCTATGGTGAGATAATTGATAGGAACTTGCTTTTTTGCTTCTAACTTGTCCATTTTTTTTTTAGAAAATTTTGAACCACTTTGTATCGTTGCATTTTAATATTCTATTATCGGTTATGGTTCTATCGTATTTTGTATTAGTTAAACTCTGTTGTAATAATTTATGCTAAAGACGAATGCGACTATGAACTTTATTTATGAATATCACATATATGATCAATAACTTGCCAATGCCAATTTAGATGAAATTTTCAAGACTGAATTTTTTTTAATGTAACAAACGACCTGACAGCATACTTGATAATAAATGCTTATTGCATTTCCTGGACATCTGAAACCAACTTCAAACGAACTTGTGACTACACGGTCACCCCTGCGGACGAAGGTAGATTGCCTCACAAATTGTTATTATGTAGGGAGATCACGCCTTAAAATTGAAATATAGCAGTGGGTGAACTGCAACTAGCGGAAAAAGACGACTAACTTCGTGGTACTAAACCCGAGGGAGTTTTAGACAGAAAGGAGCCTCACCACTTTTTATAGGTTAAAGTGAATTCTGATGAAAAATTACAATTCCTTAATAATAAATCACTAGATGTAATATTATAAAATTGTTAAATATAAAAAAATACTCTATATTTTAAAATTGTTATGAAGTTTTATTAATCATGTCTGTCTTTCAATAAACGTTATTCATACGTTCGCTTGGAACATTTTATTTGCTATAGTTTCTGAACTTTCATTGAAATGCAATATTTTAAACAAAGATACTTATACTCAGGCAATATATTTCACTTTCCGGAACAAATATTGGAAGTTATTTTAGTAAAGTTTAGATAATATTGGCATTTCACGACGAACAATCGTAACAGAACATTTAAAACGACTGATCATTGGAAAAAAATTGTGCAACATTCTTACGTCAATAAGTTTCTAGGCTATCGAGGTTACAAACATTTGTTGTTAAATTTTTAATCTTCACTTTAGTTATAAATGATATTGAACATATAAAATCCTATTATTTTAAATTTCTTTAAATTATCGAAGTATTATTACGATTCTTTTCTGAATTCCGATTCCGAGATTTAGGCGAGAAATATTTGTTATTTGATGATGTTTAAATACGATCGAGCGAGAGATGCTCGTCATCAGTATTGTTATCGATTCCAATCTATTTCTTTAAGTCAGTTTTCACCCCTGTGACCATAGATACTTTAAAGTACCAAAAACGTTGGTAATAACGAAATAGAGCCATGCTGCAGCTATATTATGGTTGTATTACGAATGA